AAGAAAGGTGTCTGTCAGGGATGTATTTTGTCTCCGTACCTTTTCAATCTGTATGCAGAACAGATCATCAGAGATGCTGGGCTGTACGAGGAGGAATGTAGCATCAGGATTGGTGGAAGAATCGTCAACAACCTGCATTATGCAGATGACACAACCCTGCTTGTTGAAACTGAGGAGGACCTGAAGCACTTGCTACAGAAGGTCAAGGACTGCACTCTTCAATATGGATTGAAGCTCAACATCAAGAAAACAAAGATTCTCACCACTGGGTCAATTGGCAGCTTCAGTATGGATGGTGAAGAGACTGAGATAGTTAACAGTTTTAGTTTACTTGGCTCCACAGTCAACACTCTTGGTAACAGCAGCCAGGAAATCAGGAGATGAATTGCATTGGGAAAATCAGCTGTGAGGGACCTCTCAAGGGTACTGAAGTGCAACAATGTCAGGCTGGAGACTAAGATGCGCCTGATCCAGGCTATAGTCTTTGCAATTATGTGCTATACATTGGAGAGTTGGACAGTGAATAGGGATGATAGAAAGAGAATTGATGCCTTTGAACTGTGGTACTGGAGAAGAGTGTTGAATATACCATGGACTGCTAGGAGAACAAACAGGTTTGTCCTGGAGAGGGTAAAGCCAGAATGTTTCTTGGAGTCAAGGATTCTGATGCTTCGTCTGACATACTTTGGGCATGTTGCAAGGAGGGACTGGTCCTTGGAGAGTGACATCATGTTTGGGAGAGTGGAGGGCCGGCGCAGGAGAGGAAGACTCTCAATGAGATGGATCAATTTTGTGAGTGGAATGGTGGGAATTAATGTGTTTGAGACAGGGAGATTGGCACAGGATAGAACAGTGTTTAGGGCTCTTGCACATAGGGTCACTATGAGTCACAAACGACTTGATGGCACATACCAACCACAGTTGTAAACTAAAACAAACCTACTGTTTTGGGGTTGGTTCCAACTTGTAGTGACCCTCCATCAGATTCCAAGCCTGTAAGTTTTAGTCTTTGATCTTCTGCAAGAAGAGTTTCAGTCCTCAGTTTCAGCAAGCAAGGTTGTGTCATCTGTATAACGTTGGTTTTTAATGAGTCTCCTATCATTCCTAATGCCACGTTCCACTAAAGAGTCCAGCTTCTTGAATAATTTGCTCAGCGTACAGTTGAAGTATGTATGGAGAGAGGATGCAACCCTGAAGCACTTTTTCTTAATTTTTGGGAAATGTGCCCTGTTCCAGGATAATAAGACTTAGAGTTGTGAAAATGACGATCCTACAAAGAGCAATTTACATGTTCAGTGTAATCCCGATAAAGATACTAAATTAATTTTTCAAGATCAAAATGGAAATTGTCGAGTATTTTTGGAGAGACAAGAGACCTCAAATAAGCAAAACACTTCTGAGAAACTCCCTGATCTCAAATCCTACTACATGGTGATAGTAACAAAAACTGGATGGTACTGGTGTAATGACAGGCACATAGAACAATGGAACAGAAATGGACCCAGCTTTTTATGGTCAGTTGATAATTGACAAGGGAATTTAACCGATCAAATCGGAAAATCACAACCTCTTTAACAAATGGTGCTGGCAAAACTGGACTGCTACCTGCAGAAAGCTGAAACAGGATACACATCTCACACCATACACAAAGATCAAGTCAAGGAGAATCAGAGACCTGGGGGTACAGCCCAAACCATAAAGCTCATCAGAGGCAGTCTGGGATGAGGCTTAGATGGTCTCGTCTATGATATAAAGAAACTGTCAAATACAGCCAGAAATGCACAATCTAGAAGTATAAAATCGATGAATGGGAACTTCTAAACATTAAATCTCTGCGCTCATCAAAAACATTTTCCAACAAAGTGCACAGACAACCTACTAACTTGGAAGAACCTTTTGACAATACCCTCTCAAACAAGTATATAAAAGTTTACAGAATCCTACAGGGCCTCCACAAGAAAAAGACTGATAACCCATTTACAAAATTGGCAAAATATATGGAAATAATTTTCACAGAGGAAGATATTTGGATGGTCAACAGACACAGGAAGAAATGCTCAAAATCACTAGCAATAAGGGAGGTGCAAATGAATGCATAGCCATGTTTATTGCTGCTTTCTTCACAATAGCAGATTTGGAAACAACCCAAGTACCTGTCAACAAATGAATGGCTAGAGAAGCTGTGGTATGTGCACACAATGATATACTACACTGCATTGAAAAAACAAGGAATTCATGAAATACAATACAAAATGGGTGACTCTGGAGGATATTATGCTTAGTCACAAAAGGACAAATACTGCAAAGTGCCACTACTGTAAAAAGGAACTGACAACGGGATTGGGGAACCTAAGAAAAGAGGGGATAAATAATGCATACTGCATTGAAACAGATGAGGGAGAGAACTGTTTAAAAGGAAAAATTATTAGGTATTATTTTCATGACAAGAGTCCATAATAAGAGCTTCATAGTAAAGTGGACTGGGGTGAGGGAGGATTGTATGACAACGAAAGAATTTTTTTTCCCCCTCTTCAAAGAGAAAAGTGAACTGGGGGGGGAAGTGTGGGCAGGGAGGAAAATGTGCAACAGTGTATGAATGGAAATTCAAAGTCTCTGTAAACTTTCATTAAAAGAAAAGTAAACTACAGTGAGATACCATCTCATTCCAGGAGCAGTGGCAATTAACAGGACAGTGCTTGATAAACGTTCAGTACATGATAAATGTTGGAGAGGATGTGGAGAGAGAGAGAACTCTTATACATTGTTGGTGAGACTGTAAAATGGTACAAGCACTCTGGAAGGCAGTTTGACATTTTCTCAGAAAGATGAAAATAGAAATTCTATATGACCCAGCTATTCCACTGTTTGGAATATATCCTGAGAGAACGAGAACTGAGGCAAAAATGGAGACTTGTACGCCAATGTTCATAGAAGCATTATTCACCATCACGAGAACATGAAAACAGTCCAGATGTCCAACCACAATTGAATGGATTGAGAAATTATGGTACATTCACACAATTAAATACTATGTAGCATGAAGGAACATTCACTTTTTAAATTGCTGCCTATCTTGGAAAGACTGTAGAGCATTCTGCTAAGTGAACTCAGTCCCGTAAAGACAAATATTGTATAAGACCATTATTGTAGAACAAGTATAAGGATCCAAGGGGGATGAGGGTGGAAGCAGAGTGGTGAGATTGGGTGGAGGGGGAATGTTATTAATCATAGTGTCAAATAATTTGATGAGGAGAGGGGGAGATGAAGGAAATGGGGAAGATCTGGTATGAAAAACAATGTATTCAAACTTTGTAAATTTGGGGTTGG